CATTTAAGATCATTTTAGTGAAAGTTTCATCCTTCAAGGCGTACCATTCACTGCTGAAATACTAAACAACCTGCTTCCATGGCCGAGATACAGGGCGCCCATATTATAAGGTAAGGTTATAAAACCACCATTTAAGATCATTTTAGTGAAAGTTTCATGTTCCTATCTCATAGAATTTAAGAACAATGATGAATAAATAATTTTCGAGCAAAATTTAAATGGCCGGCTGAATATATTACCGCAGGAGCCGCGGCCGCGGAATTTAAATCACCACGTCAAAGGGTTAATATTAAGGCTTTACACAGAGAAAGTGAAAATCAACCTGCAAGTCCCAGTTTAGAGAATTTATTATATATGTGTAACCATTACATTTGCATTGTTCTTATAATCAGTATCAATACCACATACTTAGAAATTAGATGAATAAGGATCATGCTGAACAGGTATCACAGAAAGTTCAAGCAAATACAGAAATACTGGATGAGTACACATGATCTTTTCAATTTTGGAAATTTTATGTGACACAATTAGGCAAGGTAATACATCTGAACTTTCAGACAGTAGATTAAAACTGTAAATATTCTAAATCAAAGTATGCATATACATTTATTTGCTGCCAGGGACACCACCATCAAGGAAATGGTGACACTTTACATAAATTGAAGTGTGTCCTGTAGTTTAATAAAACCCAGTGTATGAAATGAGTGCAGTAACACTACTAACAGAATGTGGAGTGAATCCACCTGAAACATTTATGGGTTTTTCAAACACTTTTGTCAGATTATTTGTGTACGAGATCCCTTTGCTCCAAAATGTATGGTTGGATCTAGAATACAAACTTGATGTGTACAGAGTTGCCAATAGCCTACTGAATACCTGTAAATAGTAAAATAGCTGTGATAATGTTAGTTAATGCCTAAATGTGCAGATGTTGTATCTTCCTTCAAAGAAAATTTCTGAAATTGTAAAGGTCATTTGTGCTCACTACGTACATATTTAGATCCACTTCATTTATATCCAGTTGAACCAAATCCGCATGTGCCACGTTCAGTGTTATCCAGTTCCTGCAGAAAAAAAAAGCTGATAATCATGGCAAGCAGCAGAAATCTAGTATATTATAACAATGAAATATGAAAGTATGCTCCAGAAGTAACCATACCTCATGTCAAAAAATAAAATAGATATCCACCATAGACAATAAATAGAAGCATGCAGTAACAAGTAAGGTACAACATGCACTTGGTTGGTTAATTTTCCACTCCATAATGTTGAACTTTTTAATACTTAGTATGCTAAAACCACTGACAAAATTTCTCATCATAAATCAAGTGAGAACAACAGGTCTTGTATCTGATGAAATGTTAGCAGAATATTTCATAATATGCTAGCAGGAGGGCTGTCTCTCGTGACAGGCACTCAGAGTGATTCACTTGGCCCTACAAGCTTCCAACCCACATTTCCAGTTTCTCATTCCGGCATACACTGCAGTCATAGCTTAAATATTTTATTGTATATCAACATGCCATTTTGGAGCAGAATAATAAATTAGCTATTTCATGAATCTTGTTATTCTGTTTAACTGTACAGATATAAGTAATTGGCCAGAGTGTACAGAGCTTTGTTGTAATTAGCAAATTAAATTAATTCCTGTACACTAGTAACTGACTAGCTTGTTCTGCAGCCTAGGTGCAACATGAGACAATCCCATAAACCTTACTATTTTGATGGCTTAAATATTTCCAAGCCAGATAGTTTGCCAGTGAAAGAAGAGTTAAAGATAGAAGATATTTCAAGACTTTGAGATCCCCCTGTAATTCTTATATAATTTACTACAATACTTTGATAGCCTATATTGTTCAAGACTCTTTCTTGTTTGCTTGCTTGTCTGATGAACATATTTTTTCAAGCAACAGAATTGTAGAGTACTGCCAGTTTGGTGAGCAGCAGAAATCACTATGGGAAGTACAAGCACATGAGGCACAATTCTGACAGCAGCTAATTTTCTTCAGTGCGAGAATTATATGGCTCATGAACTTTTCCAACACTGATAAATGACAGTACTTTTTCTCTTCACATGTAAACAGAATGTGCAGACATTTTTAAACATTAATTTACAAATGTAAAGCGGTATGCATTAACTAACACCACAGAGTCTAGGCCTTGAGAAGTTACCAGTCACTCTGCAACTTCAGAATTTCCAAATTTTTTTTGGAATCCAAAGGTTCAGTACCATGTTCACAAGAGCCCTCCACTGGTCCCTATCCTCAGGCAGATGAATCCAGTCCATGCCACACCAAAAATCCATTTTAATATTCTCACACCTATGTCTAGATCTTCCTAGTGGTCTCTTTCCTTCTGGCTTTCCTGTAAAAACCTTATATGCATTTCTCTTCCCTTGCATGCTACATCTCCTGCCCATCTCCTCCTCAGTGCCTCAATCATTCTAATTATATTTGCCAAGGAGTACAAGTTAAGAAATTGTGAAGGGACTGTATTGAGTACATGTTCGAGTTCCTAATAAACGCTCACCTTCTTATCATCAGCATTACCCTCTGCTGAGGCATGAACATTCAGAATAATAACATCACACCCACGACCTTTCAGAACCATGTACAACATCCTATCACTAATAAACTTCACCCTCCTAACTGCCGATATGATTGTGTTATGTACAAAGAATCCTGTTTCTAATTCATGATTTTCATTTGCACTTCTATATAGATGTGTATAATAGCATGCTAGTTCAGTGCCACCCTTGTCATTTCTGACCTGTTGTACTTGCAATAAATCCATCTTACTTTGCCATTTCTCTTGCAACTGTTGTCAGTGAATCTGTCTTATAGAAACTCCTTATGTTCCATGTGCCAGATGTCACGTTCATTTTCCTTTGCTTACTTATTCCAAAGAATCCATTCAAGCCTGAGTCCCTGTGTAAAACGCTTTTTTATGGTGAGTTGTTACGACCAAGCTGCAGGACCACCATTTGTCAGCTGTCTCCTCCATCCTCGGGGCACATGGTAGCATAGTGGTTAAGGCACTATGCTACAAGTCGGAAGGTCACAGGTTCAAATACCAATGAGGTCACTGGGTTTTTTTCAATTGACTTAATCCTTCCAGCCGCACTATGGTTCACTCAGCCTCTAACAGAAATGAGTTCCAGGAATTAAATAAATAATTTTCCTGGGGAGTAAAGTGCGGCCGGCGCATAAGGCTGACAACCTTACCGCCATCTTTCAGCCAACTGTCTAGATAATGTGAGACTCTCAACGTCTCACAACCCTATGGGCCTTCATGGCCTGTTACAGGGATAGCTTTACTTTTTTTTTACTCCTCCATCTTCAACCCAAGGACATGCCATGCTGTGCCGACAAGGGATCGAGTTAACACAGAAAGCAATATGTGTCAGAAATGAATAATACTGACCTCTACTTCTTGTAGTTCAGGATAATAAATCCGCTGACAAATCAGTTGTGCTATGCGTTCCCCACGAGAAATATTAAAGGGCTCATCAGAATGATTGAAGAGAACCACACCAACACTGCCACGGTAATCTTCATCCACAACTCCCGCTAAAGAAAACAAATTTTTAAATTTGGCTAATCCCATCTCAGAATATTTCTCAAGTTTATCTGCCTTGCATCTGGTTTATTTTACTATTGAGTAAAGGCAGGGTGGTACAATTTTATCTTGTAATGTGGTGACATTGAGTTTCTTATCCTACTTTCCTACCCCGAGGAGAAAAGTTGTCCCCCTATGGCACAGTGATCCATGAATGAAATGATATCTAATGCTGAAGAGAAGAGTTACTGAAGTAAAAACTGAAAGATTTAACATTATCTTAGACGATACAGGTGTTTCATTTTAGAACATGTTAAAACTGGTGGGATAGGCAAACTGAGGTGATAACTAACATTACATGCAAGTGTCATGTACATACAGAATATAAACAGCTTTTGGTATTATCATTTTATGGCAGTCCTATTTGTTTATGTATATGTGGACCTCACAGCTTTCATAACTCACATTTCACATGCTGTGAACTGGAATTTGGACCAAGGAACAGATGGTTCTTTCACATTACCTCCTCACAATTGGAAAACTGTTTCTTTTTTTAAGTTTTATAAAAAGAAGTGTATTACAAAAGTCTAATTTGAACAGAAACATTACAGAGAATCCTGGCAAAATCTTTAAAACACCAGTAATCACAATACGACCAAAAGAGTAAAATGAGAAATACAAAGTATGAAAATAAAAAAAAAACTGTGGTCGCGATATAATGCACAAGAACTCCTCAGACTTAGAATATGGTTACCCTGATCAATAAGCAGTATCTGAACTATTAAGAAACATTATCGCAACACAGAGAAAAATATGGAAACAAATACACTTCCTTCTTCCTACCAACCTCCAACATCAATTTGGTGCTTCAGTGCCAGTCCTGAACGAGGTGCAATTCTACCATAACAGCCTGGTGGAAGTGCTATCTGCAAGTCTGTTTTTATTAATGCATTCCCTCTTGCTGGTACCATTGTATCATAGGCACTACAAAGACAAGTAAACAGTGTTAACAGGTGTAAAAAAAAAAAGAAAACTCGTTTATATTCTAAAGTCCAGTTTGCAACACGAAGATCATGGAACACGTTTGGTTCGTGGATTGTAAAATAAGTCTTGGAAAACGGCAACTCTTGTCAAATAAAAGTGTATCCATAAATATAAAGGTTAGTTTTCCGTGTACCTTCTTAGGTCGAAACCGGCACATTTTGCAGAGTGCTTCACTGGTGATAGAGCTTTATCAGTCAGTTTTACAAAACGAAGAACTGCTTGATTTTCAGGCAGCATGACGAGTGCTTATCTTACGCTTCTGCCATTAAAATTATGGAAAATACCCGCCACACAAACCCTCGCTTACGTTTCATTGGTTGTCCATTGGTTCACGGATCAGTGTTATATATCTTTGATATATATATCCTTGGTTCTTCCTAGTTTCGTGATGTGCGGTAAGAAAGTTCCGGTCTAGAAAACCGAGATTAACGGCCGTGGGAATATTTTTTTATTGTAGAAAGAATTATTGTAAACACAAAAAAGGCCTAGGCAATGCCCATCCTTGTGAATCTTTTTTTATTGTAGAAAAATACTGTAAATACAAAAAGGCCTAGGCAGTGCCCATCCGGCATCGTTGCGCCGACCACGCGACACCCTCTATCAGCAAAAGTTAGCACTAACTTCGCCGACAAGCGGTGGTCGCTCGGTCGGTATAATTTGCTTGCGGACTAAAAGCCACGGAGTTCGTTCGTGGTGAGATCATAGCGAAAATAAAAATTAAAGCTTCTGTCCAGTTTAGAGAAAAACTAATATTTCGCGTTTGGGCCTATAATGCCCTTATCGTTATCTTCCTGAAGATGCCACCCATTTAGTTTTATTTTGTCATATCATTATCATCACTGCAAAACAGCTCTTTTTGAACCATAGTCTTCCTTAGAAGATTCTGCAGGTTACAACTTGTTTTCACTTATTCAGGTTTAGTAACAATAATTCCTTTACACAACAAGGTCATCAGCCTTGAGTCCAATCCCCATCCTGGAGGACCAGGTCTCTGTATTTATGTCCCCAATTGAGACGGGGGATTTTGCCATATACTCCCATAAATTTGTGAAATGTAATACAAAATCTTCAGAGACGTTTTTGAGACAATGGCCATTTTAAGTTTTGGGGCACACCTTAAGGGATTCCTATTTTTGAAGCTGGAATGTTCAGACTCATCATGTGCTAACATACGATGGTAAAACTCTTGACTGTTGAACACAAATAAAATTCGCCCAACCATTCTGGTATACGAGGGAAAAAATGGATTAGCAGATGGGTTTGTTACAAAGATCTGCCATAGTTCGCATTACGTCCCAACAGGGCTCTACATATCTGGCAAAAATTGTTAGGCCAATTAAATAAAAAATGGGAATGAAACAAATCAGGTTGCACGCATAAGTGAAATTCAAAAAGCCTGCACAATTTTGCTCACACCTCAAAAAAGAAACCACTTTAATGTGGATCATAAAGAAGAAGAGTGTGAAAACATCAACTGTATTTGGGACTTAAGGTTCTTACAGTGATGATTATGAAGAGTTGGATCTTTTAGGATATAACGTCATGTAGTCTGTTGAAGGTCAACTGACATTTCAGAGGAACATGCCGCCTCCATCTTCATAGTTAGGAGTAAGACAAACATGAAAGCAACATGAAGCAGGCAGCAAGCAAAGCTTCATGCTGTTTCTCACATGGCCCACTCTGCAACTCCATAGATGGAGGTAACATGTTCCTCAAAAACTTGAGCTGACTTTCAACAGCTCATTACGTCCTAGAAGACAGAACTCTTTATGAACTCTATTGCAGTGGCTCAGCATAAGGTTTGTAAATACAATGATGGACCTTCACATTCCATAAATGATGAAAATTTCTTAAGCAGATAAGTAACTAACTATATACTGCTATAGGAGACCCTCTGCCACAGGGTATCTGTGAACATTTATTAATGTAATGATGAGCAGCACAGGATGGCAAGGTATCCTATATTCAGTTTATGAAAACTGATTCCCTGTATGAAAATATGTACATAACACAGTCAGTCAAAAAGAGAATTAAGTTGTTGATGCTTGTCCCTTTTTTTTTTTTTTTTTGCTAAAATGTTTTATACATTTTCCATTATCTCTTGTTCAATTTCTGATAACAGATTCATACTTGAAAGTTTTCAGGTTTTTACAGCATAGGTTTTATTCAATGAGTTGTGACTACATCTTTGATCCTGAAGATGGAGTCACCATATACTTCGAAAATTTTGATATCCACCTACAAGATCACAATCTGGTTTCTAGTTTATTCTGCTGGAGATGACTATCAGCATTTGTTAGGGGGTGTCAAAACATAAAATGGCGGTAACTCTATGTCACAGCTTGAATTTTTTAATTTCATGTTTCGTACAAATTTTTTTATGATGAAAATTGGATAGTTATCTAGCCTTTGTGTATGATATCTGAGGTGCGAGTACTCAAGGCAGTGACTAGGGATGTGATATCATATAGTCTGGTAGACGTTTACCAACGTTTCAGAGAAACAAATATCTGAGATCAGAACACAATACTCAACAGAGCAACCCCTGATGATGGAGGCAGAGAACCTCTGAAATGTTAGGCAGATATTCCATATTGACACAGCTGAACTGATCATCTGAGAAGAATTCATTGCAGGCTATATACATTTACAAGTTTCAGAATAAATTTGAACTTTGCTTTCTTGATGAATTTTGCCCTCTTTCATCAGCAGTCATCAATTGGTGACTTACAAATTCAGTCCATGTCTAGTACTTATGTGAAATTTGTAACACTGACTGTATTTTCCATTGCTATCAAGTGATCTCAGTGTACAAAATGCTCAGAAATAAATTTCTTACTCTACATTTTCTAGTATTTTCTGAATACTGGTGAAGACTGCTTGGATTTCAGTGTTTAACGCATTACTCTGAATATAATTCTAATTGCTTCTAATCCGAGTTTAAGCTCCGCATTTAAGGTTGAGAAGTTCTCTTTCAGCGCAATTTAGAGTTAGACTTTTATGCTTTTTTCAGTGATTGTACCTTCATCAAGTCACTCTTTATTTGTGCTATGCCTGAATGTTGTACATGTACAATGAAGTTGTAGCATATAATCTTAAACATGGATGCTATGTCAATATTACCTCTGGATAATAGATGAAAGTGGTAAGTACTCTTGTAGGACCATGTAAACTCAAAAGAAGGCTTCTACATATCACAGCCATTTCTGTATGCAACTTTCAAAATGACAAATTTATCAGTCACAACTTACTTCAGTTGTTTTCCTTGGTGTGAAATGTAAAAGTAAAAAGTAACAAGTAAAGCTATCCCTGTAATAGGCCATGAAGGCCCTGTGCCGATTGTCCACTCTGCTACCACTATGTACCACTTGTACATTCTTATGGTCTGCTACCACAGCACCGTCACTCTCTGGCACCTTTCGGCTCCGTTTACCCTTCCTCAATCGGAGGGGGAAACGGTGCTCCATCATATGGCTCTCCTGCTGTGCTCGCACACTCCCTAAGTTAGAGTAAGGGATCCAAGCTAGCAGCGAAGTAAATCTAGTTACAAATGATGGCAATCAATATAATAACAAATAACAGAACTTAATAAACACAACTAACACATAAACAAAGACAAGAATTCGCCGTTACAGCGCACGAGCCCAAGAAATTAAACAGAACAACTCAACTAATTGCATATTTACATGCTCGCACACAGCGGCATCTAACTCGGGCAGAATGGCCCATATTTACTGGTGCAACAATTTGCCTTGGTTGCATGAAAACATAACTACTACTTCCTAGCCTGGGCACAGGCTGAGTCTAAATCAAATACACAATATAAATTATAAAAACGGGTTTAACTAAGCTGGTACGAGTCGCCGCCGTACAACAAACCCAACGACGGGCGACCGCGGGCAATCTCGCCGGCCACGAACCAGCCCACTACTTGCCGAAACCAATTTTGGACTCCCACCCGAACAGGAATTTGACAATCACTCCGGCTGGCTCGGCACCACGAGCAAGGCCCTATGGATCCATAACCAGAACTGACCTCCGAACTCGAATTAACTTCCAAGCAAGGCTCCCAGGGGTAGATAGGAGGGGATAGGGCAACACCACGTGACCCAGTCCTGCATGGGGATGGGGTGGGGGATAAGTTTAAGAACCTCAATCAAGGGGCTGGAAGCCCATGACATCATACCGGAGCCACTGCATGGCTCAGCCCATAGGGTTGTGAGACGTTGAGGGTCCCACATTATCTAAACAAACGGCTCAAAGATGGCGGTAAGGTTGTCAGCCTTACGCACCAGCCACACTTGACTCCCCAGGAAAATTATTTAATTAATTCCTGGTACTCATTTCTGTTAGAGGCTGAGTTGACCCCAGGACCATAGTGCAGCCGGAAGGATTAGGTTCATTGAAAAAATTTCATTGACCTCATCAGGACTTGAACACACGACCTTCCAACTTGTAGCAGTGCCTCAACCAACTACACTACCATGTACCCCGGTGTGGAATGTATATCCATAAAGTTTCATGTGAATTCTAGTTCTCTGCAATAACAATCTGTGTAATTTACACCAATATCCTGATGTTTTCAGACCATTTAATTTAAATACCCTTTACAGATCATGTTTTAGTGCACATGTGCAGCAAGGGACATTTAATTTTACTACGATCCATTATATTAACAAAGAGCTGATACCCCAATATTGTTCTCTTGATTTCATAAAAACTGAGTTGAGTTTGTATATTATGACACATGCAATATATGTATTTGAGACAACAATTTTATGAATGCTTAACAATGTGAAAATGATTGTGACAAAAAAAACAATGAAAAAGTAATGTGAGAAGACCAGTAGACACATCCAGAAACCATGTTTTAAGACTAGTCTATGGGTCTTTAGAAAGATATTTCAATATATTTAAGGCATAATTTTTTCTGTATAGTTCAATAGAGAAAAATCTTTAAGTCTTCAGTATTTTATAAACATTTAAAAAAAAACATTTAATTTTGAAGATCAGTCAACTTTGACACAGAATAAGAACTCTACAAAGAAATTAGTGTTTTTTTTATTAGGAAGTACCACTAAGGTAACAGGTTAGGAAATGTATACATAGCATAAGAAGCTTGGACTGTTTGCTCTGCTATGACACAGCATTCCCTCTTGTTAAATGTCTAAAAAACCATAACTCAAGAGAAAAGTGCACTGGGCATAAAATTTCATTTTTCTCTACAACTCTGAAACATTCTTCCCTTCAGTAAATATTTAGCAAGCTATAATGGAGATGCACACAGAAAGACAAGCAAGTCTTCATGTAAAGTGTCTGTTATTGTACAATCTTTACCAAAA